TCTCAAGGCTCACTCAACTCCAGGAGCCATTGCCTGGGTTGCAGGAGGACCTTCTCTGCACAGAGCAGCGCAGCCGGCAGAGAGACCTGTCCCTTTGCTAGCAGAAGAGACTGAAGGCCTTCCACATGGGAACGGCAGTTCTTTGTCATCGAACCTCTGTTTCCAATACCCCAACACACAGTATCTCCTGTCTCCAGCTGAGATAGCAAAAATGTACATCCTCACTCTCCCAATCTGCAGGAAACTGATGCAGGAAAAAGGGATGTGATGATTCATTCGCTTCATATCTCGGAACCCAACGCTTTCCCCAAGAGCAGCACAAGAACACATTTTGCCACCCACCTCCATACTTGATGGAATTTAAATACAGCCCCCTGTGATTGATGCTTCTCCTCACATACGCACTCCAGCCACAATCTGGATAATGCGTAGCGTTATTAAAGCATCAATTATCTTTAGCACAAGCGGAGCTACGTTAGCAGGACTGCAGTCTGCTCGTTCTGATAAGGTTCGCTCCCTTCGTTTATCAACAAAATGGGGACACGGGCAGGCCACCGAGTCTGCAGGCTTTAACTGTTAGGACAGAGTTGACTTTCACATGGTCTGTGCGCACACCATCACCCAGAGCATCCTGCTTGGCAGGGGCTGGTTCTCAGGAAGAGGCAGGTTGGCACTACAGCCCCGGAGGAATATGGTCATCGCTGGCAGACATCCTCCAGCCAGGAATCACCCACCCAGGGTGCATTCCCTGGGTTCCGGAGGGGTGCTTATGCCTGATGGTGCTCCAGGTACCCCAGCAAAGCGGCCAGAGCGCTCAGCCTTGCTGCTGAGCGGGTGATGTCCCCAAACAGCTCGTGTTTTGCTCCTCTGGTGTGCAGGCAGGGTGGTGGCTTAGAAAATTACAGGGAAGCAAGAAGGTTATCTCTGAAGCTGGCCATGCATCAACCCACAGGTGCCTTCCACCAGTTCTGAAGAGAAGTTTCCCTCTGTTCTTCTCTCTTTTGGCACTACTCACATGCTCCAGTTCTCTTTTTAGTGATGAAAGCACGGCCCAGGGACAGGGCTAAGAAACTGCAGAAAAGCAACTCTTTTTATTAGCAGACCTAAAATTTCCTTCATAAACCACACTAAGATAGACTCCTGGCTTATTAATAGCAGTAAATGTCCAAGTCCAATAGACTTCAGTTAATGAATATTGATTATGACAGTGCTGGAGAAGGCTGGTGTCAGTCGAACTGCGATCCTGTACTCCTCTTCTCCTGAGCAGGGCTCTAAATGACCCGAGAGCTTATTTGTTTTTCCAAACTAGGTAGTGGAAAACACAGCGATTAGAGCTGCGCTGCAGCTTTCACTGTCCCAGGGCTGGGAAACCACCTTAACTCTGACAGCAGCCGGTCAGTGGGGCTAAGCAGTTTTTACTGGGTTTTTTTTAAGCACTTGGGAGCCTGTGGACCTGGCCCTTTTGGAGCCAAGACAGGATTTATCCCCACGCTCAGTGTCCAGCCCCTGCACGCTGAGGAGCTCACACACAACACGGAGGGACAGAGGTGGACTCCCCGGTGGCTGTGAGGACAGGCCAAGGATGCCGGTCAGGCAGTTCCTAACGCCCTCCTGGAGATACCTGAACGTGCGGTGTGAAATGAGAGGTATTCCACAGGGACAAGCCCAGTTTAGTTTCTTGGAGGACCACTGCCAGCCCGCCACCAAGCGTAGCTACACTGTGCTGGAAGAAGACAGGCACCAACTCTGCTCGAGAGCAGAGATCCCTCTACTTGGGGCAAGCCTGCCCCAGGCCTCCGGCTGCCATTTGCACTTGTCCATCTATTTACGGATGTAAATGCACACTTCCCTCTACCCCCCAACGGATATCTTAAAAGTAAAAATCTAAGGTGATTAACAAAACTACCACGGTCACCTGGACCTTTGACTCACGAGATAAATCTCATCATGCTCTTGATGAGTGGCTCTGTCTTTCACCTTCAGGCTGGGATGACTTTGAATGGCCTTTAAATGAATGAGAGCTCAGGAAAATAAACCAAGGGCAGTCCACTGCCACGCAGAGACCTTATCGCTCTCCTCTGGCGGGGGACGGCGGCAGTGAGGAGCGGGGAGGCTGGGGGACTGTGTCAATGTTTTCATAAAACTATCTTTTATGCTCACTGAAATAACCCAACAACAACAAACCCCAGAACAACCCTCTCTCCCCCTCCCCACACCTGATAAAAATCAAATAATAACAGGAGTGACTTACGCGCTCTCTGCCTGGTACTTCAATCTGGCCTTCCAGTTAATACACACTATGATTAAAGCATCTATAATCTGCAGTCTGTGGAGACCTGTAGAGCAGGAGCAGCAGCGGCTGTGCAGCCTGATAAGGGTTGTTCACTCAGTGCAGATGAAACTTTTAATATTTATAACTGCTGATCTTTTTTCCTGATGCCTCCTATTGAGGGGAGGGGGGTGAAAGTTTAAAGATAAAAGCTTGATGAAAGACCGGGTGGAATGTTTTTCCAAGGACAGGCAGGGGCTTAAAGCTATCTCCACCTAAGAGCGGGTTAAGAACGCTGCTTAGGCAAGCGCCGCATCAGAGATGGGGGATGAAGCCTCTGGAAGACCTTCAAGGCTCATCTGAAGTGCGCCCAGGCTGAGCTGTAAGCTCCCCTGAGCTGTCTGCGGGCTGTCTCGTCTGCGCCTGGGACCGCCAGGCATCACCACAAAATAATTAAGTCACACCAGGTCAGCTGCACGTACCGTAAGTGCTAACAGCACTTCCAGCTCAGCACTGAAATATGCCGAGATCCGAAACCAGACTGCGCCAGCCTAACCCTCCATCGCAGCGTCAGCGGGAGCCGCAACGGTCAGACACAGGGCACCGGGAACGCACTTGAAAAAATAAACTGCATCTCACTCCAATCAAGTCACCCTTAATTGCAGCACAGTACTTAGAACCCACTGCTGGTGACACGATGAAGATGTTGGTGCCTTCGCAGTCTTCCTCCTGGGAAAAAGCAAACCCCCACACTTCCAGCAGCATCCCTCTTCCAAGTGTATCGGTAGTATTTTAGTCGGTGGCCATTTGGCCTCAGAGACGGAAGGCTCTGCCCCCCAGGCAGCAGCAAGCCCTATCACAAGGCAGAAGCAGCTGCTTTGCACTGCTCCCCAGCAACTCCCTCTGCCCCGTGCAGGATATCCCACGGGAGACCCCGGGACGCAGACAGATGCACACGGCTTATGCGGCCCTTTGGATGCCACGCTGACAGAGAGATTCCGTTTACCCTCCGTACAGATGCAGGAACCCAACCAAACTCCCTCATTTTCAACACCATGAAACCCGGACTCACCCCATGCCCAAATGGTTTAATATTTGTGCATTGAAAAAAGAATCCTGACACTTCCAATTGTCAATATCGTGAAAGATAGGAGTGACATTGCCCATCAGTAATTTCAGACAGATATAACTGGGCCAATCTGAGAAAAACAAAAAGACACAAAATTATGCAATACATACTCATTCTTTCAATATATTCATTTATTTCATCTGAAAAATATTAAACTTTAAGTACTTCTTTCAAAGGTAGTTATGTGGTCCTCATTAGCATCAGAGCACTTCAAAATGTTTAATAAACATGTACATACAATGTACATATGATATAGGGAGCTACATCAGAGCTGAAATACAAGGCTTGGGTGAACCTGAACTGAGGTCTCTCAAATTCTCAGTCAACTCAGCCACTCTGTCTTCCTACCACAGACACCAGAAGTCAAAGAAAAAAGAAAAGCAGGCTGGCCAGGGAGGAGACAGGATTGCTTTTTCACAAGAGAACAACAGAGATTAAGACTTCTTTAAAAGAAACAAAAAAACCCCAACAAAACAAATGCTGGAAAACATCCCAACTGAATTCAAGTGTATCAGAGAAAAAAGGTAGAGCTCCACACTCTGAGGACAAGTCCACTGTTTGGAAAGCACGAAGACAACTGGATGAAGAAAACATAACACTTGGTGTCTCCTAGACAGCTGCAGTTTTCCTTGATTTAAACAGACTTGTCTTCCAGAAATTAAATTTCTTGGCCTCCACTTTGACTGAATTCTTCTCCTCCACAAAATATGATATCAAAATATGCGAGCAGAATTAAAGTCTAACATGATAACAGTAAGTTGTTGAAAATGATTACAAATATGAAGTCCTGAGTTTATCTGTGTTCTTAACGAGGAGTTTATCTCAAACTTAAAACCTTGGAAGAAAAAAACAAAACAAAACAAACCCAACTATCAGAAGGAATTCCTGTATGACTGCTAGAACTATATGAAAAATCCAAATTAACAAAACCACTTAGTAGCAGTAGACTAGTTAAAACTTCATTAGCACCTGGCCAGTGTGTATCCAGAGCTCCTACAACATCTGCAGGCTGCAAGCAAAACTACATTAAGCTGCTTATCATTCTGAAGCAAAACCCAAGGATTAGACATACCTCCCACTGCACATCAGTTGGCCTCCCCAGCTACAGCAGCCACCAGGACTACGCTCATTTCCAAAGCTCATGAGCATTTTGAATTAAGCAACCTTACAGCATGAGATGGACGTACATGAAGGAACATCTGCAACACTTCGTAGATGGAATTATCTATCTATATCTATCTATCTATCTATTATCTATCTATAGCATCATCTATGAGTTGCTGTTGACAAACCTGAGCTTTCGATGCCTCAAATGTGGGAGCGTTCGGATGTGTACATAGAAGCTAAACATCCCTCTGAAGACATGAGTTTAACAGTGTATATCAAAAAATTTAATCAGAATACCATCAGGTGTTTACAGCTATGTATTGAAGTCACTTGCTACAAACAGGTTGTCAGCTCTAGTATAAAAGTAACACATCTGAAAAATAAGAGCAGTAGTCGGAGACCCTCAGCCCCATCAAACGACAGCAAGATGGTTTGCCGATGCAGTCACCGATCACAGCTCGCACCAGCAGCTTCGGAGAAAAGGGCTGGAATCCCAGCAACGAACAGGTCCAGAAAACTCTGCTCTGAGGGAAAATCCCTCCCAGATATCAGGCGGCAGTATGCAAGCAGGAGAAACAAAGGCAAGTCTATCCATGGGTAGTAGCAAAGGTCACTGAAGAAGGCCACACCTTTCTCAAGCAGTCCAGCTCTCATCACATGAAGACACTTCAAAGGCAGAACTGCCCAGCACGACACGTGAGCTCTGTGCGTGTCCCCAAGATCAGCCAGTTGTGCAGATGTGTTTCTAAGGCATCGCGTCAATCTAAACTGAAGTGCTCTGCAAAAATATCATTTTTCTTTCCAAACAAACCTCGTATTTGCTCAAACTCCAGGGGCACATCAGCAGCCTTTTTCTTTACTTCTTTATCAAAAAGCTACAAAGAAAAAAATAGAAGATATTGGCAAAACTCAGCACAAACTCTTCACCCTGGCTGATACCACTGCTCACTCTAACCTCTTAAAAGATCCAGCAATAAACCTTTTGTATAAAAAGCCATCCCTGTCACCACCGCTGCCTCACGCTCCATTATTTAACAGACGTTTTCCCAGGCTCTGGGAAACCAAAAATCAGCCTCGCTCCCTCCACAGCAGCAAGGCTGACAGGGCTACAGTGCCCCAGAACCAGTCTCCTGTCCTCTGGTTCCCATGGTTCACAGAGGCACAGCAACACTACCTCATAAGCTGAGAGCTCCAGGAGCCCCGATATGTCATCCTCTATTTCAGACAGCGACTGGTTCAGGACAGCAGCTGCCTTGGCCACATCTGGGTGATAATGGTTTTGTAGAGACTGTAAAAGCAAAACAAACAGGAGATGGTCTCGTAAGTACAGGCTGACACACGCATCCGGCTTCCCACACAGGGATCTGCCCTTTACTGGTAAGATCTTCAGTGAACATCAAATTCTGGCAGAGGAGGCAAGTTTGCTGTACTGTGCTGCTACAGGGCTTCAAGAAACCTCGATTCCAGCCATCCTGCAAACAGTCAAAGGCCCCTTCCGCCTGGTTCACCTCCAGCTCAAGACAGACAGACGCCTCCGCAGGCCATGCCTGCAGTGCAGAACCCAATTCTGCCAGCTCCCACCGCCCCGACCTCACATCCCAGCTCCTGCCCCCTGGGCTTCCCGCTCCTGCACAACATTCCCGTCGCTGCTTCAGACCCTCACACAAATCCCTTGTAGCATTTAAATGGGAAGTGATAATTCTGACATTAAGGTTTTAGAACCATCAGGAGTAATTTAACCAATTTCAGCCTTCATACACCATCCTACAAACGATTCAGGTGAAAGGTGAACGTTACAATCTTCTCCAGCATTTTTAAACCCTTTTCTACAGGATGACCTGGCTGTACCCAATTAATTTCCATCAGTGCTTAGCAAATTCCTCTCCCCTTTCCAAAGCAAATAAAAAGCCTCACAGATTTGCAGCTATTTAGTCTGTTTCAGCTGTTAAGTGCGCACTTTTCAGCTGCACAGTCAGAAGTGTGCTCACAAGTCACCTACTAATTAGCATGTACAATTTCTCCAGTGTGTGGAATCCTTTGCCTCTTACGGTAGGATAGAAAAGGATGCAGAATAAAAGATCAGCCAGAAACTCATCTCATTTGCAAGACATATGTCAGCAGGTTCTTGTAAGTGGGACTGCCCACGGCCACCGTGTGTCAAGGAAGCAGCAAGCGTGGAAGAAGCCCATACCAGACACAGATGTTTCTTTCTAGCTGACATACCCGAATCTCCCAGAGAGAGCTCTCCAAAGCCCTGCTTTCAGATGGTGACTCCTCCTCCATAATATACGGATCTTCTGACATATCTAAGGAAACAGAAATACAGAGCTAGTATCTTCTGCCTGATGTATGTAACCCCAAAGGGAAAGCAGAGACCTGGAGTTGCTCCTTCTCAAAACATTTAGGGTCCAGAAACAAGCTGACACATCCAGCACGACCCAAGAGTCACTGTTTGTGGCATGATGGAGTCATACTACTTTTAAAGTGCACAGGAAGTAGGGCACAGAGAACTGGAATAGTCTGATGCATAAGGTATCTCAGGCAAATCTGAACAGTCACTACTGACGTTCAGCACTAGTCAGTTAAATCACAGAGAGATGAAGTAAAAACTCAGGAGACTGCTGAGGCCCCCGTGGGGCCACCTACACAAAACCACCACAGACAGAAATTAAGGAGGTCTCTGGTTTCGGCATTTGATTTCTTTTCTCTTTTCTTTATAGTCTTGCAGTGAACAAGACAAGCTCAGTGTCTGGTACAGTGTCCTTCGGCACTTGGCAGTAGCCTGGGTCAGTGTGCCAGGCTCAAGGCAACCTTCACCGAGCAATCACAGAGGCTGGGGAGCCAACTGTGAGGTCCGAGGTCAGAGTGGAGCAATGCAGATGGGTCCTGACAGCCAGAGAACTTGCAGGAGCAGCCTGCTGGCTTTCCACAAACTCAAGGGACAGAGGGATCCTTCTAGAAGTCGGAACTGGGGCTGGGATCTCCCCTCCTCCTCCAGAGGAATCCTGCTCTTGTCTAAAGGCATAACGCAGAACTCGCCTGACCATCTTCCCTCTTACCTTCTGGCCCATTAGGTCGGTGTACCAGCACTTTGCAGGCGGGGTGCCTCCGAAAGAGATTACAGATGAAGGGAATGACCATGAGTAGAGCCTCAGGAGGAGCGGTGAGGGCCAGCCGGGAGAGGCGCTTTATAAATGCTGCCACCAGGTATGCTGGCAAGTGGCTGTTGGAAAGGAGACAGAAGAAACCAGCATGTAAAAGCCCTAGCAAGTGAGCCGGCAGCTTCACCAATCCAAAAAGCATATCAGGTTAAAGATCAGTGGGGCTCTTCATATTTTTTGGGCTATGGAGTAAACAGAAGCTATAAGAATCCTGGTTTCAAGCAGTAATAGAGGGTCTGGTGTGCTCTCCGGAACAAATATGGGGGCATTTCCATCTCAAATCACCCTGTGATTCAATCCAGATGCATGGCACCACTCCAGGCGCTTGCCATAGCCAAGCAGAGCTCTTGTACGTGGTCATTCACATGGCAGTCTTTATTCAGTCCTATAACCTTCTGAGTGCTTGGCCAGGCAACCTTAATTATATTCTTCTAATGTTGTTTTGTGGGTTTAATTAATACACAGGCCATGGTGTTATATTTACGTAATACTTCCAGGACTAAAGTAAGCAGTGCAGCTGCTAATGGGAACATAAAGCTGTTGTAATGTAAATGTGCAGGACAGTTCTTTTTTTATGGTAAAAATTCAAATTTCTAACAGCAATCAGCTCATCTAGGCACTTTCTTCAGGTCAGAAGAGCTGGGATGAAAGATGACAATTTGCAGCCACTCAGACTGCAGCCCTAGGGCTCGCTACACCTGCAAGGCTCAGCAAAGCCACCCCACAGGACACCATCTGTCAGGTCTTGTTACTGTCTCCAAATCACACTATGAATACAAGGGGTGTGACAGTAAGTGTCTAGTGCTGAACTGTAAAGCGTTACTCTTGGTTTATTTTATAACATATGACGGCAACTATATGGCCAGCTGCTTATCTAGTTTCTTCCCTGTGTACAATGAGTTGACAGCATCAAGACAGACTGTCAAACACTTTATATTTCAATGTTACATGTCTGCAAAAGGTCATCAATTTATCAACAGCTTTATGATCTATAAAAAGCCTGCAAATGTTACTTTTCCATATTCATAAAGACAGACAGAAAAATCATCACTTTCAGCCACAGTGGAATAGAGATCAAAATACATCCATAATCACTTGCAGATCAAACTCAGATAATGAACTGCATTTTTACCTTCTGAAACTAGACGGCTGTGTGGCAAATCTTCAAAAACAGCACATGAAAAATTACACAACACTACAGTAACACTCTTGGATTCAGTTTTCTCAGTAAAAAAGAATCTAATCCAGTAGGCACAGTGAATACATTATATCCAGACATGTGGGGGACTGTTCAAGAACAGCCTCTGGTCAACAGAAAAGCAGGAGGAAAATATGTGAACATACATAATAAAGATGCTACTTACGATGACGACAAAAATAGATCAGCCAAATGGAAAAAGCGGGCTCGGTACTTCACATGATATATAGAAGGGTCCAAAAGACTGTACAGCTTTTTGTAAAAGTCAGGATATTCCCTGTTAAAAAAAAAGGCAACATCCCTTGCTGATTAGTGATGTACAATGGGACTACACTGTGCCTAAAAGTTCCTGTGCGTTCGTTACAGACTACCCCAGATCACCGCTGTGCTCTGTTTAGCTTTCTTAGGCTTCTCTCCACAGCCACCACTTGAAAACAAGCTGTAAGGTGAATTTATGCCTCTCGCAGTGTCCAGCCATTTTGGGGATGTGAAGCTATGTCCATTGACTGCAATTGGACAGGATCTGGTGAAAGGCACACCAAAGACTATGGCTTTGCTGTGTAATCAGATCAATAGAAATCAATTTTCAAGCGCTGAGCAACCACAGTCTGGAGAAGAGGACATTTAGGCTCAGATGACAAAAAGGGCAGACTATCAAAAGAGCTCAGCATCCAAACAGCCAAACCCCTTTTGCAGAGTTCGGCTTTCTCAGGGGGGAATTTTAAAGCCTGAAGGTGTGGAGAATCCATTTCAGTTCCTTTTACATAAAGACACAAATGCAAAAACCCACGTTCCTTTAACCAATATGCTCTTTTTTACTTACAGATTATGCTGATGAATCAGAATAAATAATCCATTTAAGGCTAGAAGACTGATGGCTCCACCTGTAAGAAAGCAGGCAGGTATAAACACAACAAAAATTTTTAAATAATAAAAAAAAAAGATCAGATTCAAGTTGTTTCTATTATAAAACCTTCCCAGAAGAAACACAAAACTAAGAGTGCCTGCAATTAGAGCCAACTTTCCAGAGGCTCACAAGTTTCTTACAAAGATTAAGCTGTAGTTTAAAAGAACAGATTCTGAAGTACTGAGACACAAAAATGTTTTGCTCTAATCCTCCAAGAAAGCCACACTGACGAAACAAAGGTCTTATCAGAAAGGACATTTCTGTAGGAATCTGTGCATCCTGTGTCCGGATGCAGCCCAGGTATCAGCAGTACGGGCTGAATTCTATATTTAAAGGAAATCACTCCATTACTCTACAAAGCCTTAAATATGATTTTCCTTACATACAAGGAGCAACAGCACTGACACAGGTGAAAACATCCCACTTGCAGGGACAGTGGAGTTCACCAGAGTTCCTTAGCTCCATCTCAGGCAAAAGTACATCTGTTTCATCATCCAGGCCCTGGCGCTGCATCCAGCAGACCTGCCAAGTCCATACGTACCATGCTGCAAAGGACTAAAAACCTGTTTTCACTCACCTATGCCATAGGCCACTGTCAAGAAGTCTATCATGAGGGTGGGTTCGTTCATGTAAGGCAGGATGGAGTCATGCAGAATCACAAGAACTTTTTTGTACAGGCCAGTGGGCAGCTGCAAAGGATGAAACAGTACAGTGAAACAATCATTGCAGGGAGAACTCAGAGAGCAACAGTAACCGATGGCTGAAGAAGGCAACACACAAGCAAATGGGAATGTGCCGGGACACCACAGTGCCAGGACAGTACAGAACAGCTTGCAGCAACAGCTCCCAAATGGGAGAGTTTACAGGTGACACCTGACAAGTTCATTCAAAGAAGCAGGTGCTCACAACTAAAAGTCTCATCACAGCTCAGAGGGGAAAGTCACCAGCAAAAAGGCTTGGGAACCTTCAACTTGTGAGCAGAGGTTGTTCGCTGCAGATCACTGCTTACAGGCAGACTTTAACGTGGGAGAAAAAGAAAGGTCGAGAGTAAGGAGAAAAAACAGCAGGTATATCAGGTCATACTTTTGGCAGGAGAATGATCCAACAGAAAGGGTGACTGGGCTGTTCTCATCCAATACTGAAAGCAGTGGGGTCCTACCAGGAGCTCCACGCAAGGACAGACGCAGCCTCTAAGGATTAGCTATGGAAGAGTGATACAGACCAGGGGCAGCAGTAACACTCACCTTATGCTTCAAAAAACTGAGCCACATTTTTTCAAACGCCTGCTTGTGTGCCTTAAAACAGAATTGCAAACAGTGAGTAAAACGCACTGCTGTAGATAAAGCTCTATTTTAAGTAGAAAAAATTTCAACTCTGAAGCACCAAATGAACAGTTACCTGCAGCTTCGACACTTTCAATTCCTCCCAGTTATCTAAGAAGAAAGGGAAAACTGATGTTGAACTTGAAATGGGTATTTAAGAAATTAAGATGACCCTTTTTTACTTAGTCCTTTGATACTCTAAAAATTTGGGCTGAAGTCCTTGTCTTGATATAAGACCATGACAGACCCCACTGTAGACTAAGGAATGTGGATTTTGTAATACTGTTTAGAATTACTGTGATCACAGAAACAGACATTTTTCATTAACAAATGATAATAAAGTCTTTATACAATAAAAACTTAAACCCGATTTTCCTTTTCAGACACAGTTCATCATGTGGAGCTTACTAACCTTGCTTCACCATAAATTTGACCATGTCACACTCTTTGTTCGGCATGTTAATGGGTGAAATGAGGGAAAATACGTTCTGTTGGTAAAATGGCAGCGGCCTCTGAGAAAAAAAAAGCGCATAATTGAACATGAAGCAAGTTCCACAACAGATAGCAAGACATTGGACTTCAATATTGCCCTATTTCCCAAGAACTGAATATATTTAGGAAAGAAAAAATGCTGATGGCTGAACTATATACTGGTATATTCTCTATGGCTGCCTCGTCCTGGAGTATTACTTGTTCACCTAACACAAAACCTATCTCTGAACTAATTCTGGTTTAACAAAACTGGTAGATCCAATTAAAGAAAACACACTCTTCTGCACCAGAGAGAGAACAGAATTAAGAGTTCTGTGTGTGCCGCCCAAGCTGCAGAGATGTGGGTAAAACCAAAGCTAGAGACCAGACCAGAAGGATCTGCAAGAACAACAGTACGTGTCTTGAACCATTGCTAATTTCAGACTGAAGACAGTCTTAGCACAACTGACATACATTGTGAGCAAAAAAAAATTAAAAAAAAAAAATAATCAATGCCTTTAAGTGGGCACACTCATTTCTCTTGCTTCCAATGGCTTCTTGTACACCACTAGTCCCTCCCTGCTTCATGTGAGGGACAGACATTTCAGAGCAGTTTATCCAGACCCACCTCAACAGTAACAATTTGTTACCTCTTTTGTCTTCTGCATGACTTGTCCAATACTCTCAGTGACCGCCTTTATGACAAAGTACCGAATGTCATCGTACTCCATATATTCTTGAAAGCGGGAGATCAGGAGCGAAGCGTCCTCATTTAAGGGAAGCAAGCCATCAACAACTACCTAACAAAAGGGTTGTAAAGGGAAGCAAGAAGTCAGTCTCTCACAGTACTGGAGCAACAGCGAGCTGCGATGGCTGAGGGCACCCTTCATCTTTCTGGAAGGCAGCTAGCATGGCTGTGCGATCTTGCCCCAGAGCAACATTTATAAGCCCTTCGTCAGAAGGAGGCGCTCCTGGCCTCCAAGATGGGCCCCTTCTATCAAAGACAACTGGAAATGAGACAGTGGCTGAACCAGGGGCAGTATCTTCCCTCTCATCTCCCAATCCTTGCAAGTGAGGCCAGAGACTCAAGAAAACCCACCCCAGAACTGGTACCTCATAAACACTCAGGACTCCAGCTCAAACCTGTACAAGGCAGCTGCTCCCACACCTGCAGGTGCCACCTCACCAAGGACAGAAGCTCGAGGTCTCAGTGCTCTGTCTAGGACACCACCCTCCCTCCGCACTGAAAACCTCCTGGCTTGAAATTTTAGTCCTGGAGAAGTTGAGCACATGAGGTCATGTGTGCCATCGGGTAATGACAGGAGGAACTTTTCAGTTCTGCAGCTTACCTTAAGAAGTTCACGAGGAAAAGTTAAAGTCCCTTTCCACTCTACTTTGATCAACGGATATTGTGCCTCCAACTCAACAAACTTCATGAGGGTGCAGAGTGACAATTCCTTTAAAAAAAAGACAGAAAAAAACCCACCACAACAAGGTCACCAGCGGTCAGATCCAAAGGAGGCAACTTCTACAGGAGGAGGAATGAACTAAGTTGCTCTTCACGGAGGAAGCTGCGTGCCTTTTGCCGTCAGGCTGGCGAGCAGAGGTGAGCCGGAGCGCCAGCGATGCCCCTCGGCACTGACACGCCGGAGTGAGAATTGCTGCCAATTCCCCCCGCCGCAGCCCTGCCTCAGCAGCAGGCTCAGCACCTACCTTCACCTGGAAGGCGTCGTGGCCCATCAGCTCCGCCAAGCAACCCACGCAGTCGTTGTAGCGGTGCCGCATCCATATCTTGTATTTATCCTCAGCGCTGTAGTTCTCTGAAGGATGAAGCACGGAGAAGCTGTGAAAGCCCCGATGGGCCGGGCCGGGCACAGGGCCCCGCCTCTGCC